TGCCTCCTCCCCACCCGGAGCCCCAGGCCAAGGAGATGGAAGAACAGGTGTTCAAGGGGGACCCTGACACCCCTCACTCCATCTCCTTCTCGGGCAGCGGCTTCCTCTCCTTCTACCAGGCTGGGGCGGTGGACGCCCTGCGGGACCTGGCCCCCCGGATGCTGGAGACCGCCCATCGCTTCGCCGGGACGTCGGCAGGAGCCGTGATCGCCGCCCTGGTCATCTGCGGCATTGAGATGGGTAAGGCCTCGGTTCTGCTCCCAGAGCCTCAGGGGAGGGGGTCCCCGAAGATGGAGCCTCGGGTCGCTCAGGGATGCTTAGGGGAGCAAAGCCAGGGCTCCTGGGAGACTGGGAGGAGGTGGGTCGAGTGGGTTGGTGGCAGCTGTGATGTTTGAGGCTGGAGTCTGCCGGGTGCCAAGCTCTGACCCACGAGAGCTTGGCCCCATCTCTCGCTCCTGCTCTTACCTGTGAGGCCCCGTCTCCCTCAGTTTGAGGCAGGAGGTCCCCCCCACATCCTGGTCTGGGGACTTACAGGGGGCACAGTCAGACGTGGGGGAAGGGTCCCTGCCTGGCACATGTGAACGGCCCATGTCTGTACCGCCTGGGTGGGGATAGGTGGCCAGGACACCTTCCAGTTGCAGAGAGGGGGCGCCTGGGGGCTGTGGTGGGTGCAGGCAAGATGGGAGGAACTGGGAAGGAGTGTGGACGCTCTCATTTCACCTTTCGCCGCCAGTCCAGGGCCCAGAGAGGATGGGCCACATCGCTGACCCCAGGGCAAAAGCCCCTTCCGTGTGGGTGGGCACGATCCCAGCAGCCCTGACAGCAGGCCTCGACCGGGCACTGGAGGCCCAGAGTCCGTCCACACGGGCCTCAGTTCATGTACTGAGCTCCTGCTCTGTGCCCAGCTCTGCTCAGGCACAAGGGACAGAGTCCCTGTCCTCATGGAACAGAAATGCTAGGGAAGGAGACACATGATGGACAGCCACATAGTAACCTGGTGTCACCACAGGAAGCGCAAGACCCACGAATGAAATGACGGCAGGAAGAGGTTGGAGGATAAAGTGGGGAGTATTTCAGAAAGAGTGATCAGGGAGGCCCTCTTGGAGGAGGCGGCATTCAAGCAGAGACTGAGAGAAGAAGCCATTCGAAGGTCAGGCAGGAAAGAATGTTCTAGGCGAGGAGCAGCCAGGGAGCTGGTGGAGCTGGAGGGGGGGAGGAGAGGGTGAGGGGTGGGGGAGGCTGAGAGGCCGGCAGGGACCAGATCTCCTGGAGCCTGAGACAGAGGAGAAGCTCTGATCCCTCCCCGAGAGGCGAGGCACAGAGGCTGTGAGGGAGGCGATGTGGGGGTGGCTCAGGGCACACACACCTGTGGGTTGGACCCAGCCCTGCCGTTTCACAACGTGGACCTGGGGAAATCACTCATGCTCTGGGCCTCCGTGTCTGCACCTGTGAAGTGGGGGTTCTACCAGGACCCCGCTCCCAGGGTGGGAACAGGAAGCATGGAGGGGAGGGAGGGGAGGGTGGAGAGAAGCGCCTGGGTGCTGGATTCAGGGTGCACTTTGAAGCTGGGGCCGGTGAGCCTGGCTGAGGGGCCGGTGTGTGAGGAGGAGATGCCCCGGGCTCCATCCTGAGTGCAGGGCAGGAGGTCTTTGTCTTTGTTTTAAAGGATAATAAATGCCCTTCGTGAAGTACCTCCTCTGGGCAACGTTAACTTTTCTTTTGAATATTTCACGTGCAATAAACCAATTCTCTCTCACTGTACAGAATTCAAGCAATGCCAAAGTATATGGAGTAAAAGTATATAGAGTAAAAGTATATAGAGTAAAAGTATATAGAGAAAAAAATCCTCCACTACCTCCACCCTTCGCCCCACACTCACCACAATCCGCTCGCCCTCCTGTAGCCAGTGCTAAGGGCTCTGCCTGGATCCTTCTAGATCAGTGGTTCCCAGCGTGGGGCACACCCCCCACAGGGGAGCAATTTGATCTTTAAGGGGGGCAATTCGAGAATGGGTTATTAACAGTGAATGTTTTACCTTTCTTATGGTTCTAGGGGCCTCATATACAACATATAAATATATATTGTGACATATTTATGCATTTCAGTTTTCTATTATATGTTTTGAAACTTTATTTGTTATTTTTTCCATATCACTTCGAACAATAAGATTTATGTGTCATGGGGGGGGGGCATCAGGGTTTAGAGATGCTTGGGGGGGGGCCTGGCCAAAGAAAGGTTGGGAATGGCTGCCCTGGATCTTTCTTCACAGAATCCTGTGCATGAGGCAGCTACTGCTTCAGTCATACTGAAGGCCCGGGACAGGCCTCCAGAGCGGGGTAGGGGGAGCCCCTCTCCCTGACCTGGGCTCACAGAGTCCCTGCCTCAGATTTCCTCCCTTTCCCGAGTCTGTGTCGCTCGCCTGGGCCACTGCGCCCGCCTCCTTGTGTCGTATCTCCACTTAAAATGACCATCTGCGGGAATCAGAGATGGCTACATCCTCTGGCACTCAAGGACTTTACAGAATTAACCCAATTCGATCGACTCCATGAACACTGCCCCAAACCCACCTGGCCAGGCTGTGACGGGCCTGGACAGCAGGGGGAGGAACGGGGCCGGGAGAGGGGCAGCTGGCTGGACCGGGGCTGGGCCGCGTGCTGCCCTGATGGGGAGGGCAGTCCAGGGAGGGGTGAGATGTAGGGGGCCCGAGCTTCTCGCTCAGCAGCCTGTTTATGCGCTGAGCCACGTCACTCCAGCCCACTTCCCCCGCTTTCCCCCCACGGCGTTTCCTACTGCCCAGCACTTCCTTATTTCAGGCGGTTCTCAGGCCTCGGGGTCTCAACTCATCCAGCCCTCACAACAGCCCTCTGAGGCGAAACTATGACCATCTCCATTGACAGCGGAGGGAACTGAGTCACAGACAGCTTAGCTAACTCGCCTGCGGGCACACGGGCAGCATTTGCTACAGCTGGGGTTTGAACCCCGCTTGGCCAGCGTCTCCACGCTCACCTTCTAAACTGCTCTGCAGATGCTGGTGGTGTCACTAGTGAGGTCAGGGAGGTCTCTATGAGCAGGTGGGATTTGACCTCAGACCTGGGGTGGGGGAGATAGTCTCTACTCGAAGGGACCAGTGACGTGTGTAACATCTGTCACCAGTTAGAAGCACACCAGGAGCCGGGACTCGGTCTCCTGACATCTTTGAGGCTCTCGGCCTCTCTCAGTGTATATTCCATGAGGACTGTCTCAGGGTCCCTCCCGCCATTCTGTCGTTACACACAGCACCGCACCGAGCGTCCGTGTTTGTGTCGGCCACGCCCACATGGAATGCTTCCCTCTGGTATGCATCGCATTAGCCATGCCAGACGTGGCTTAATTACTCTCCCAAGTGGTTGTACCAATTTAACCACTAATTTCCCCACGATGTCATCAGCCCTTGGTGCTGTCAGACTGCCAAGTATGAATTCAATCAATGTAATGAATGTAAATGACGTCTCACTTTATCTAATCTGCGTATCCTGATTACTGGTAGGTTAAGCATCTCTGTGTTCATTGATCGCTTGTGTTTGCTCGTGTGACTTGCCTGCTCGTGACCTCTTCCTGTTTTTTTTTCTACGCGTTAGCTTTTTCTCTTTAATTTGTAGATGTTCTTTCCACCGTCTGTACGTTAGCCATTTGTCAGTTACAGACATTGCGGCCGTCTTAGTCCACTCCATGGTTTGCTGTTATTTTGATGATGAGGGCTCTTGTCCTTCAGAAAATTTTAATGAGTCAAATGTATCAGTCGTTTCCTCTTACAACTTGTGTGTTTTTTTTTAGTATCTTGACTTTGTTATAATGATTTCTCCTCTAGTTTCTTTCAAAGGTTTTTGAGTTTTGCTCTTTCATATTTAGGCTGGAATTTATGTCGTGGCTAGTTTGAGGTAGAAACCCACATTTTAATGATTTTGCCAAGTGCTAAGCGAGCCAATCGTCCCACCCCATTTATCGCCAGCCCTTTGCGCACCTGTTTGGCATGCTGCCTCCGGCTTATTCCAGCTCCTGGATTCTCAGTCTGCCCCGGAGTCTCTTCCTCTTCCTCTGGCTAACTTGTCTACCTCTGCACCACCCGCAGTTTCCATCGCTGGAGCCTTATATGGCGATCCCTCTCCTCCTCCTCCTCCTCCTCCTCCTACTTCAATTTCTTCTTCAAATACTGACTCTGTTATTCTTGACCCTCCTATCTCCCCCTCTCCCCTCATTGAAAAGCTCTGTTGGGATTTTGATCGAAATGACAGCTATCTCTCTATTTCTTCTGGCCTTTTCTTCCCTTTAATAAAGGTTGTGTCAGTCTTTTATTAGATGTGTTAGTTTTTGTTGCTATGGGCAATGGGATCTTTTTTTCTATGGCATTTTCTAGTCTGATTATTGCTGATATAAAGAATGTTGACTCTTGGATATTAATTTTGTTTTGAGCAACCTTGTTGAACTTCTTACTAGCGCTAAAAGTTTGTTGGTAGACTATCTCATAGTTCACGTGTAAACAGTCAGACCATCTGCATAGAATCAGCGGTTTGCCTCTTTTTAACCATATTCTTCAGCGCATGGGGCCCAGGGCCTCCCTCCTCTCACTCCCAGCCTGGGCCCCCCGTCCTGAGATGGTGTTTTGTTCTGTGGAAGCCAGCAGCACTGGGCTCATCTGGAGATGTGTGCCTCGCTCTGTGATAGGCCGAGGTGAGGCCGCATGAAAACGCTGAAACCAGCACAGTGCCTGGTTTTTCATTAGATGCAGTAAACGTTTGTGGACGGATTCACTCATCCAAGGAGAGATGCTCTCCATGACAACCAGGGGATTCGGGATTTCCAATCTGGCAGAAGTGGGGATGGGCATTTGCATAATTTTGAAAAATAAAATTTTTCTTATCAGAGAATGGGGATTTGGTGGACTTAAAACCCCATCCCCACTTAAGTTAGTAGACACTTTCCTCTCTATAAAAACAGCATGGCAAGGCAGTCATTCACATTCATCCAATCATTCATTCATTCATTCATTCAGCATGTTTGCTGAGCACATACTAGGTCCTGTAAAGAACACAGAGGTAGCATTCAAAAGGCAACTCTGCCCTTGGCCTCCAGAGGCGTGCATTCTGCTCAGACTCTAAGGCAGCCAGGTGATCATAGCACAAGAAAGCTCCCACTGAGTGCTCGCAAATGAAGAGGCACAGAAGTGCAGAGGGAGGGAGCAAATGCCTGCAATCATGGAAGGC